ATATGAATCCCCTGTCAGGAAATTAAGGAAAAGTGTATGATAATGAAAAAAATATTAAAAAAAGAAATAAGGATTTTGGAAAAGATAAAATATAATAAACATTCAGTCGAAGCAAGCTTGGCGTTACTTTTTTATTGCCATAATTATTATCAGACTTTCCTCAGATTTAGTTGTCGATACGGAGGTGGGAATCCGAAAGCAGAAGAAAAATAAAACCACCTCCAGTGTGATATTTTGGCGTTGACTCTCAGGAGATCCGGTATTGCCATGTTCACCCTATGCTTCCTCAGTTGGGATTCGGGTGGGTAGACCGTAAGGCAGAAGTAAGAGACAACCACCTCCAGTCTAATCTGTTGGCTGTAGCTCTCAGGAGATCCGGATTTGCCATGTTCACGCTGTGATTCCACTGTTGGGATTCGGGTGGGTAGACCTTAGGGAAGAAGTAACAGACAACCACCTCCAGTCTAATCTGTTGGTGAGATTCTCAGGAGGGTTCCAGCAGGCTTCCACTGTTGGGCAATGTCCAGGGAAGAATTCTCCACCAGTCTAACTGGATGGGGAGGGGACATGTCCACGCCAATTGGATGGGGAGGGGACATGAGATTAAAAGTAACAGACAACCACCTCCAGTCTGATCTGGTGGCGGTGGCTTTCAGGGCTTCCTGCATTCCCATGTTGGATCGTCAGGATGGGTGGGGGAACCTTAGAGAAGAAGAAATAGACAACCGCCCCCAGTCTGATTTTTGCGTCTCAGGATTTCCGTCATTATCATGTCCGTCTACTCTTTCTTTAAAACCCTAGTGGGAGCGGACGTTCCACGTTCAGATGGTTGTACCCGGTATTGGTAGCCTGACTGTGTCGCCCACCTGCAGTTTCCCACCCGTGGCATCCATCCTGAAGTGAATCAACATGACATGCGCGCCGTTGTTGATCCTGGCGTCAAACAGTCCAGCCTCATGATGCTTTGATCGCTTCCTACTCGAGATCTTTTTTTTTTTTTGTGGGCTATCCGGTAGCTTGGCGTCACCCATCTCCTTTCTCATCTCCATTGTAGATTTGTGAAAGATTGAAAACATTTTATTTTCATCATTCATCCGAAATTTTCTTCAAAATATCTGTTTTTTAAAGTGTTTCATCTTTGTCAAGATTTTCTGTTTGCTATTTTTCTAAGCATAGGGAGTTGGTTTCATAGAATTCCACTCAATTTAGAGTGCTAGTTATTGAGAATGTTGTAAGTAAGGCGAACAGATGAAGAAAGAAAATGCATACTATGATGACTTATAAGTTAGATATCGGTTGGAAAATGGGGAGAATGTAAAACGAAAAATATAAGTCGCGGAGGAAGAAGGAAAGATGTCTTCCAAATGCTAAGCAAAGTATTAAGAAACGGGAAACTTCATTAGAAACAAAGAAAGATGTTTTCCAAATGCTAAGCAAATTATTAAGAGACGGGAAACTTAATTAGAAACAGGGAAAGATGTCTTCCAAATGCTAAGCAAAGTATTAAGAAACGGGAAACTTCATTAGAGACAGACAAAGATGTCTTCCAAATGCTAAACAAAGTATTAAGAAATATTTTCATTAGAAACAAGGAAGCAAGGAAGGAAGGATGGAAGGAAGAAAAGGAGAAAGAAATGAACCTACGAACGAACGAAAGAAATAAAGGAAAGGAAGGAAGGAAGGAAGGTACCAAGGAAGGAAGGAAAGTGGGAAAAATGACTTTTATGTAATATCGGTTTTCTTATATGGTACTGAATGCTGGAATGACGAAGAAGAAACTTGAACAAAGAAAAATGCAATTCTACAGAAGGATCCTCTAGAAAAGTTATTCCTAGTTGTTAATGTTTCCCGCTCGTCAGAAATTCGTAGATACTATTAAACAGTGTTCAGATTTTATAGAGCAACGATCTGTATGAGAAAATGCCTGGTGTTTCGATTGAAATCTGCGGTTTCAGTATCGACAAAACGTGAAAAGAACCCGGTGATATCTTGCCCCAAATAGATTGTCGTTCAACCGAATTGAATAAACCTGAAAGAAAACAGTTTTCTGTCTTTTGTGCAAATTTTGGTAACAGCGATTTTGCGTTGAATGTTAAGAGGAAAGGACAGATGCTAAAATGGAGGAGGATTGAGGAAAGGAAGGAAAAAAAATGAAAGACAGAAGGTATTAAGGAATAAACGAAAGAAAGCAGATAAGAAGGAAGTAAGCAAATAGGCTAGAAAGAAAGGAAACAAGAAAGGAAGGCAGGAAGCCAGGAAAGAAGGTAATAATAACGTAATGAAGGAAGGAAATAAGAAAAGAAAGAATGAAGAAAAGCATTAAGGAAGGAAAGAAGGTAGGAAAGAAGAAGCGAAGAAAAGAAAGAAAAAGTGTAAAAGGAAGGAAAGAAAATATATGGAAGCTAGGTAGGAATGAAGAAAGAAAAAAGGAAGAAAAGAAGACGGAAGAGAAGAAGGAAATGAAGTTAGAAAAGAAGGAAGGAAAGCACACAGGAAAGAGTTAAGGAAGGAAGGAATGAAGGAAGGAAGGAATGAAGGAAGAGAAGAACGAACAAACGAACGAAAGAAGAAAGGAAAGGAAAGAAAGAAAGTAGGAAACAAGGAAGGAAGAAAAGAAGAAAAGGAGGAAGAAATCAACCAAGGAAAGAACCAAAGAGTAAAGGAAGGAAGGAAGGATGAATGGAAGGAAGGAAGGAAGGAAGGAGGAAGGAAGGAAGGATGGAAGGAAGGAAGGAAGGAAGGAAGGAAGGAAGGAAGGATGAATGAATGGAAGGAAGGAAGGAAGGAATGGAGGATGAGGGGAAGGAAGGAAGGAAGGAAGGAGGGAAGGAAGGAAGGAAGGAAGGATGAATGGAAAGATGGAAGGAATGGAGGATGAGTGGAAGGATGAAAGGAAGGAAGGAAGGAAGGAATGAGGGAAGGAAGGAAGGATGGAAGGAATGGAGGATGGAAGGAAGGAAGGAAGGAAGGAAGGAAGGAAGGAAGGAATGAGGGAAGGAAGGAAGGATGGAAGGAATGGAGGATGAGTGGAAGGAAGGAAGGAAGGAAGGATGAATGGAAGGAAGAAAGGAGGAAGGAAGGAAGGAAGGAAGGAAGGAAGGAAGGAATCTTTGGTAAGATTGAGTACTGGACGGAAGGAAGGATGAATGGATGGATGAATAAAGTAAGTTGGAAAGACAGGGAGGAAAGAATGGATAAATGGATAGATGAAAAGGGAGGAAGGAAAGAAGGAAGGAAGGAGAAAATTGGAAGAAAGGAAGGAACAAACGTACAACGTACCAAGGAAGGAAAGTAGAAACAAAATGAAAAAAAGTGGAAGGAATGAACGAACGAAAGAAGAAAGGAAAGGAAGGAAAGAAAGAAACATGGAAGGGAGGCAGGAAGGGAGAAAACGAGGAAGGAATAAAGAAAAGGTGGATGGAAGGAAGGAACAAACGAAGAAACGAAAGAAGAAAGAATGGAAATTAAAGGAAGGAAGGAAGGAAGGAAGGAAAGAAGGCATGTAGAAAAATTGGCAGAAGGCAGGCAAGAAATAAGAAAGGAAAGAAAGAACTAAGGAAGGCAGACAGGAAAGAGATAATTAAGTATAAGAAAGAAGGGAAGGAAGGAAGGAAGGTAATAAGGATGATAAGAAGAAAGGAAGGAAGGAAGAGGAGTAGGCAAGTAAGAAGGAAGGAAGGCAGGAAGGAAGGAAGGAAGAGGAGTAGGCAAGTAAGAAGGAAGGAAGGAAGTACTCAAGTCAAAAAGGAAAGGAAGTAGGCAAGTAAGAAGAAAGAAAGAAAGAAAGAAAGAAAGAAAGAAAGATGGAATCGTTTTAATGATCGAGTACTGGACGGAAGGAAGGATTAACTGATGGATGATAAAAAGGAAGGATGAAAAGGAAGAAAGGAAGGAATGGAGGAAGGGAGGATGAGTGGAGGGAAGGGAGGAAGGAAGGAAGAAAGGAAGGAATGGAGGAAGAAAGAACGGATGAATTGATGGAAGAAAGAAAGAAAGAAGGAATCGTTGGAAAGATCGAGTACTGGAGGGAAGGAAGGATGAATGGATGGATGATAAAAAGGAAGGATGAATAAAGTTGGGAAGAAAGACAGGGGGACAGAATGGATAAATGAATGCATGAAAAGGAAGGAAGGAAGGATGAATGGAAAGGAAGGAAGGAAGGAAGGAAGGAAGGAAGGAAGGAAGGAAGGAATCGTTGGAAAGATCGAGTACTGGACGGAAGGAAGGATGAATGGATGGATGATAAAAAGGAAGGATGAATAAAGGAAGTTGGAAAGACAGGCAAGTAAGAAGGAATGAAGGAAGGAAGGAAGGAAGGAAGGAAGGACGCAAGTCAAAAAGGAAAGGAAGTAGGCAAGTAACAAGAAAGAAAGAAAGAAAGAAAGAAAGAAAGAAAGAAAGAAAGAAAGAAAGAAAAAAGGAAGGAAAGAAAGAAAGATGGAATCGTTGTAAAGATTGAGTACTCGACGGAAGGAAGGATTAACTGATGGATGATAAAAAGGAAGGATGAAAAAGAAGAAAGGAAGAAGGGAGGATAAGTGGAATGAAGGAAGGAAGGAAGGAAGGAAGGAAGGAAGGATGAATGAATGAATGATGGAATGGAGGAAGGAAGGAAGAAAGGAAGGAATGGAGGAAGAAAGAACGATTGAATGGAAGGAAGGAAGGAAGGAAGGAAGGAAGGAAGGAAGGAAGGAAGGAATCTTTGGTAAGATCGAGTACTGGACGGAAGGAAGGATGAATGGATGGATGATAAAAAGGAAGGGTGAATAAAGGAAGTTGGAAAGACAGGAAGGACAGAATGGATAAATGAATGGATGAAAAGCAAGGAAGGATGGAAGAAAGGAAGGAATGAAGGAAGGAAGAAGAAAAGGTGGAAGAAAGGAAGGAACAAACGTACAACGTACCAAGGAAGGAAAGTAGGAAAAAAATGAAGAAAAGGTGGAAGGAATGAACAAACGAAAGTAGAAAGGAAAGGAAGGAAAGAAAGAAAAGTAGGAAACATGGAAGGGGGGCAGGAAGGGAGAAAAAGAGGAAGGAATGAAGAAAAGGTGGAATATGAAAGATGAAATATAATTAGTTAAAAAGAAATAAAAGCGGGAAAAATAAGAGGAAATAAAAGTGATAATGAAACAGAAATAACGAATCGGGAAAGAAAGAAAGAAAGCGAGGAAGGAAAAAACATGAAAATAAATGAACGATAAAAAGAAAATAAAGAGTAAATGAATGAAAAGTAAGAAAGAAAGAAAGAAAGAAATAAAGAAAGAAAGAAAAAATGAATGAAAGAAATGATGAAAAGGAAAGAAAAAATAAATGAACGATAAAAAGAAAAAGAAAGAGTAAATGAATGAAACGAAAGAATGAAATAATGATGAAAAGGAAAGAGAGAAAGGAAAGACAGGAAAATAAATGAATGATAAAAAGAAGAAGAAACAGTATATGAACGAAAAGAAAGAATGAAAAATGATCAAAAGTAAAGAAAGGGCAGAAGGAAAAACATGAAAAATAAATGAACGATATAAAGAAAAATATAGAGTAAATGAATGGAACGAAAGAAAGGAAGAATGAAAGAAATGGTGAAAAGGAAAGAGAGGAAAGAAAGATATGAAAAATAAATGAATGATAAAAAGAGGAACAAAGAGTAAATAAACGAAAAGAAAGAAAAAAAGAATGAATGAATGAATGAATAAATAAAAAAATGATCAAAACGGAAAAAGAATGGAAGGGAAAACAGGAAAAATAAATGAACGATAAAGAGAAAAAGAAAAGAGTAAATGAACAAAAAGAAAGAAAGGAAGAATGAAAGAAATGATAAAAAGAAAAGAAAGAGAGGAAGTAACAAAACTGCTACAAACATTTAACAGCTGTGTTGCACAGTGTAAACCGGAGAAGTCTCTTATATCCGGGTTTCTCTTATATCCGGGTTTGGTCTATTTTATATACATTAACACAGGCTCTAATTTGGGACCAGAGAAAATCTCTCTTATATCCGGGTTTCTCTTATATCCGGGTCTCTTATATCCGGGTTACACTGTAGATGACTTTATTTTTGGCCGCATTTGCTCTTATATAAAGAGATTCCAGTTTTTGCTTATTATTGTCTTGATAAAGCACTGATGTATTTTCGACTAATATCTGTCTCAACTGTGAATCTGGACATTAGTGTACGCTTCGCTGAAATGTTCTGAGATTGAACTAAGATCGTTCAAGTGAAACGCAAGCCTTCTCGTCATCGTTGTTTATATATATATATATATATATATATATATATATATGTAAGAATGAATATTTTTAAGATGTTCAGTTCATAAGCATAAATCGTCAGGCCACAAATGCACTTATGACCTGACGATTGCATCTACATGAAACAGATTGTCGTGCCTCTATGTTGATTGTGTGTTCAGTTTTACATTTACACACGCTCTATCTCTGATATCGAGCACTTTTATCCCATAAATATAGACTATATATATATATATATATATATATATATATATATATATATATAAATTAAGGGGGATTAGAATCATAATTAATTCGTTGAGTCTAGAGAATCTCAAATGAATGAAGAACGCACTGGACGGCCGTTTCTAGTCCCATTTGGGGACTCATCATCAGCAGTGCGGCTTCCACGACCGGGAGTCGAACTCAGACTGTTACGATATGATGCAAGCGATATATGCACTGGACCAACGAATTCGGTGATATGACCTCGATAGTGGATTCGAAAAACTTTATTGAATAATCCTACCATGAATGACACTTGGGGCCTTAAATAGGGTGAACAATTTTAACAAAAAATGCTGTGGAAAGATTTTCCTGTTGAGACACGGCATATAGAAGAAGAAGAAGAAGAAGAAGAAGAAGAAACAGAAGAAAAAGAAGAAGAAAAGAAGAAGAAGAAGTAAAGAAAGAAGAAGAAGTAGAAGAAGAAAGAAGAAGGAGGAGGAGGAGAAGAAGAAGAAGAAGAAGAAGAAGAAAGGAGAAGAAGAAAGAAGAAGAAGAAGAAGAAGAAGAAGAAGAAGAAGCAGAAGAAGAAGAAGAAAGAAGAAGAAGAAGAAAGGGGAAGAAGAAGAAGCTTGTGCCAATGGTTGGCAGGACATGGATTACGACAGAGAGCAAAAAGACAAACTATAGTAATACCTACAAAGAACGGGAAGTTGTGGAGAGCTATGATCACGTCTTGAATGAACCCGTAACAGAGAAACAGATTAATTGACAACCAGGGTGAAATTGTCATGGATACAGATGAACGGGCAATGAAGATTGAAAAGGATAAGGGAAGAAATGAGAAGACACGCAAAGTGAAAGATCAGACACATGAAATAATGGATACGTACAATCGTCAATACGCGTGCGACTTCTCCAAATCCAGTAAGTGTGTATATAATATGCATTGTTTTAATACTGTGGAGTAAAAAAAGAAAAGAATGAAGTGGAAATCTTTTTTTTCTTACATAAACGAATAACCATGCTGTATGAAAGGAAATATTATTAATTTTTTTTTCTTATTTCATTTCTATCAATATTCTTTATTTTACGATATAACTTAGGAAGCTTTGTCTGGATTCTTTCACGAAAAATTATTTATCTATATTTATTTATTTATTTTGACTGAGATAAGTATTGCGATATGGGATAAGAAATATTCAATTTCAATTTCTATTATATACACAGACCTAAAAACCTGGGTCATTTTAAACTAATGTAAATTTTAATAATTATCAAGTCATGAGTTCATGTTTCGTTGATTGTTTGGTTGGTTAGGTAGTTTCGTTTAGCGGCATATCAACACCTCTGTGGGTGTTTTAATGTCGAAATCTAAATATTTTGTACGCAATATTATGCCTTTAAATACAACTTTTATATATATATTTATATATATATATATAATTTGTATATATATATATAGATATATATGTATGTTTATATATATATATATATATATATATATATATATATATATATACACACCACATATATATATATATATATATATATATATATACATATATATACACACAGACACACAAAAGGTATATATATATATATATATATATATATATATATTATAAATTAATTGATTTAACCATGTTGCAAAAATGTAAAGTGAAAGCTTCGAATTTAATTTTGTAATGAAATTACTTCTTCTTAAAAGAAATATAGCATATTAAATATTAAAAATGAAAATATTTTTTAAATCGTAGTTAAAATAAACGTATTCTAACCTAAACACCCCCCCCCGCAAAAAAATCTTTAAATATACAAATAGAAAAAAAAAATGTCGTAAGAATTTCAGCGGTTTTTTTTTTTAATAAAAAATCCGACATGCATTTAACGTATGTCAAATTTCATTGAAAAATACATCCCTACCCCCTACCAAAACGTACCTAATAACTGATACATCAAAATACAGAGATAATGAACACGCAAGTACCCCTTGTCTGGTTGAAGTGGATTTCTCTGTATCCTTGGAAACGTGAATTATGATTTTTACCGTGTCTTTAAAACCCAGTAATTTTAAAAGTTACTCCAAAATTCGCTTGACGATGAAATGGAACTAATGTCTTTAATTTAATTACAAAATTAAATTTAAAGCATTCAGCTTCCATTTTTGAAACATGGTTAGAACTGTGTAGCGAAAAAAACATATTTTAAATCAAATAATTTATAATATTAATGCTCTGTAAATTTACATTGAGCATTATTTTGTGAAAATAAAAATATCTATAAGAACACCGGATTACATATCTTACTGTTCTTTCTTTATATATATATATATATATATATATATATGAAGAAATTTTGAAAAAAACAAAGAAAAATCTTAAATGTAGTTAAATGAAATAATAAACCGAAACGTCAGACGTCGACATTTCTTTTTCATTTAACTACATTTCTATGATTTTTTGTTTTTTCAAAATTTCTTCATTCTGTCGGATTTATATCCATTTACACTTGCTTATATATATATATATATATATATATATATATATATATATAATAGCGGGTCACTCTTATTCTAGGATACCCGTCTACTAGGGCGATGAGCCAATCCCTAATTCAGAAGCTCGCTCCTGCATATTTGTATTTGTTCAATACCCACAGAGCCCACTTGTTGTTTATACTGCTACTATGCTGAGCCGGCCTTAGTTACTGAGAGAGAACGTGTTATCTAGCATGATCAGTAAACCCTGGGCTGTTGAATAAACACAAATTTTGCCAGAGCAAGCGTCGGCAATATGGATTGGTTAGCCGCCCTTGTAGACGGTTATGCTCCAATACGAGCGTCCAGCTATGAATGCATCTCTGATATTGAGCACTTTCCACTAAGTACTGCACATACAAAATAATACACATATATATATATATATATATATATATATATATATATATATATATATATATATATATTATAAATTAATTGATTTAAAATATGTTTTTTTTTACACAGTTCTAACCATGTTTCAAAAATGGAAACTAAAAGCCCTGAATTTAATTTTGTAATTAAATTAAAAGACATTAGTTCATTTCATCTTCAAGCAATTTTCACTAATAGACTTATATATCTTACTGTTCTTTCTTTATATTATATATATATATATATATATATATATATATATATATATATATATATATATATATATATATATATATATATATATATATATATATATATATATATATTTAGAGAGTATAAAGATGGCAAAAAACATAGAAAACGACATAACATCATGAATCTAAAAGTTGATTTGCAGGCTAAAAGGGGAAAATACTCGAACATAAAAGGCACCATTATCAGCTGAAAAAGGTTCATCGATAAAAGACCGGAATCATTGAAGAACAGATAAAAATGCTTTATGATGTCTTTGATGTGCCAGCAACACAACAATCCGTAGAACCTACAAGGACTAGTTACAGAAGAAAAAAGAGTACTGAAGAAATTGACGTGGATCCGTGACGGAAGCGTTACAAAGGCAAGTACGTTTGGCAAACTCTCCAGGG